ACTTGGGAGGCAGAGGCAAGCAGATCTCTGTAAGATTGAGGTCAGCTTGGTCTACACAGCAAGTTCCAGGCCAGTTGGAGCTACAGGGAGACCCTGTCTCAAAAAGGCCACCTCTCCCCAAAGAAAACAAATAAAATAAGTATACTTACAAGCACTCAAGAAATTTTATTCATGATTACTTGTGAGGGGTGAAGAAGAAAAGGTATGCTTGCTTTTCATTTTGTCCGTTTGTATACCATTTCAACTTTCAAAAAACCAGTTCATATTTAATTTTATTTTTTTGAAAATTTAAATTACATTTATTTATTTAGTGTGTGTTTGTGCTCAGCCTGAGTGTTCTGTCATACTTTGTGAGTTCTAGGGATCAAACTCAGGTTGTCAGTCTTGGTGGCAAGCATCTTTGCTTCCTGAACCATCTTGCTCGCCCGTATATTTATTTTTTAAAAAGTTAAAGTTGTGATCCAGTGATAACAGTATACTTAACAAAACGAAATGTCATCTCTGACCTGATGATCTGTAAAAATCTCACAGCTAATAGTCAAACATTTTAATGAGTGAATTGTCATGGAATAAATTTAATATGAGGCAGTGTTGCCTCAAATAGCAACTGTAATTACTTAGAAGAATATTCTCTCTCGCTCTTACTGAGTTCTTTGCTGTGTTGTTTTGTAATTTTTTTTAAAAAAATTATTTCTTTATTTTATGTGTGTGAGTGTTTTGCCTGCTTGTGTGTAAGTGTATCCATGTCCTGCAGCGCCCTCGGAGGGCAGAAAAGGGTGTCGGAATCCCTGGAACTCGAGTTACAGATGGTTGTTAGCCATCATGTGGGTGCTGGGTTTTGAACCTGGGTCTCCTGCAAGAACAGCCAGTGTGCTTGACTGATGAACCATCTCTCTAGCCCCTGTTTTGTAACTTTAAAAAAATTTTTTTATTTACTATTTTTATTTTATGAGTATGAGTGTATTGCCTGCAAGTATATAAGCGTATCTGTGTCGTGCACTGCCCACGGAGGTCAGAAGAGGACGTCTGATCCTCTAGAATTGGAGTTACGGATGGTTGTTAGCTGCCATGTGAGTGTTGGGAATTGAACCTGGGTGTTCTGCAAGAGTAGCTAGTGCTCTTAGTCGCTGAGCCATCTCTCCAGCCCGTTTTGTAATTTTTTTAAGTTATTTTATTTTTAAATGTGGACATGTACAGTGTCCATGGAGGCCAGAAAAGGGTGATCAATCCCCTGGAGCTAGAGTTAGAGGTAGTTCTGAGCTGCTTGACATGGGTGCTGGGAAATGAATTCGTGTCCTCTGGAAGAGTAGTATGTGTTCTGTTAAGCCTTCTCTCTAGCCCCGGCTTTGTGATTTCTTAAGAACTCTCTCTCTCTCTTTATCTCTCTCTCTCTCTTACCCTAGACAGGACTCAAACTCACTATGTAGCTGTATTAGTTACTTTTCTGTTGCTGGAGTAAAAATATCGTGATCAGGACAATTTATTGAAGGAAGAGTTGGGCTTACAGTGCCAGAGGGACAAGAGTCCATCATGGCAGGGAGGCATGGCAGGAGGCAGCTGGAGCAGACAGCTGAGCACGCACATCTTCAAGCAGCAGGCACAAGAAACAAAGAGACAGAAAACATGGCTCTCTGCTCTCAAAGTCTGTCCCCCAGTGACGTGCTTCCTCCAGCATGACCATACCTCCTAAAGGTTTTATAACCTTTCCAAAACAGTGCCCCTAAATGGGAACCGAGTGCTCAAGTACTTGGAGCCTACAGGGGGCACCACCACAGTCTCTTGAGACTAACTTTAAACTGATTCTCCTGCCCCAGCCTCCCAAGTCCTGGGATTGCAGGTGTGCATCACCATGCTAGGCTGAACAATCTGCTATTGTCAGAGCTTTTCTCCTTCCCTGCCTCAGGTTCATAGATGAATTTGTCCCCACATTCACATGCTCCCACAAACTGTATTCCGGACTTCTGAAATGTCTTGGAAGGTTCCCAGTGGAGGTAGAACTCCAGCTATAACTAGCAGTACATTGATTTGGAGTGGCCCAGGAGTTAGGAGAGGAGCTCTATCATCAGATGGCAATGATGGATAATGATATGGACAGTGGCAGTTACTGGTGGCTTACTGTGTCCATACATTCACATGTATCCTAGTCCATTTTTCATGTAAACCTCACAAGTGCTGGGGGAAGTCACATTGTAAGCTGTGAGGCTGGCCACTGCTGAGCCAAAATTCAGGACTCCTGCCCACTGTCTGTAAGGTCGATCATTTGTACCCGCTGCTTTGTGGGGGACAGTCATACATGATACAGAGATTGGGCCCTAAAAGAAGGTTCCCTCCATTGTACCTGTGGGGTTACCTTAGAATTTCTAGAATCATGGGGCTAGAGTCACCTGCCTTAGATTCTGAACTTAGAGAACTCAAGCCTTGCAGTCATGTGGATGGTGTACTGAAGAGGAAGACAGGTGTATTCTAAAGGAGCCCACAAAGAACACGCGGTATGAGTGTCCCTGGATTTTCAGCAGTGCTTTATTATTTGTGGTTTCCCTTTAGTCCAAAAGTATAGCAGAATCACATTCCTGATGGAGCCATGCTGGGCTGAATCCAGCTGGGCTGGCCTCGGATGAAAACCAACCAGAGGCAGTGCCTGCTGCCTCCGTCCCCCATGCTCTCTGATTCAGCAGATCGTGTATGTCCTGGGCCCCAGAGTGCTGACGAGGCAGTTTTCATCTTTGATTTTCTCTTTTATCCCCCCTGACACCACACCACCACATAGCGTTTCCTAGAATCTGGCTGGGGTCCCACTGCCAGGGGAGATTCAGAATTGGAGTGTCTGGAAAAGTTGTCCGTGGCCATGAGGGAGGAGGCAAAGTCACCCCAGAGAAGACTGGCATTTCTGTAGTGACCTCTTAGTGAACTGGCACTGGGAGTGGGTGGAAGGGATGCCTTCAGATGGCAGGCAGGGAATGGAAAATTAGTATCCATGAGAGGAATTCTGAATTCACCAGGGCTGCCTTTTCCTGGAAGGATTTTTATTGTCTCCTTTGCCATTACAAGCTTGGGAGCCTTTTCTGAGTAGATGTGAGACAGTGTTGGCTGTGATTCTGGGTGGAAAGTAGCTGGCGCTGAGTGAGTGTGTCTAAAGTCCTTGCCGCTGCTCTAGGTGTTGGAAACATATTTAATGCTCTCATAACAACCATGCAAAGTTTGATGTTCCCGTTTTAGAGATTAGAGGTCCAGGGTCCCTGTGGACCTTGGAGAGACCAAATTCCATGTGCTTGGGGTGAAAGAGGTGCTAAGACCCAGGAATTTGTTTTGGCTAAAATGTAACCAGGCAAGTCCTCTCACACAGGTAGTATGGACTTCAGGTCAGCCTCAGAAAAGCACTGCCTCTGACTATGTGTGAGTGAGTCTTGAGGAACCTCTGGTGAGTGATGTCTGTGCCCAGTGTCCGCTTTGCACTCTAGTAACAGGGTGCTGCAGTCAGGAAGCTGGTAAGATGTTGCCTTCCTGGGGGCCAAGGAGCTAAGGGCACCAAGGAGACCTGGGCACAGATTGAATCTTTAGTCCATAGTCCATTTAGTCAGAAAGAACATGTCCCTGACACTCTTGACCAGACCAGAGTTTCAGTGTTGACCAGCATGCCAGTAAGTGAATCCCCCCCAGAAATTAACCACATCCTTTTAGAGAAACTGAGGTATAGGTCCCTGGGCTGCAGGGACAGCCATCATCAGTACAGGAGGCTGCAGGGTGACCACCTCCTGTCCTGGCCTTCACAGCCCGCCATTCTGGCCCTTTTGTGAGCTCCATGCCTCTTCAGCACTTTCATTCTGTGCCTACAATGGCTTCCCTGAAGCAGGCTGTAATAGGCCAGAATCTAGATCTTTCTTGTCTGAGCTGCTTGTTTTCTGGTGGGAAGAATCTCTGCCTTCCAGGTGACACATGAAGGTGGGACCCATTTGTGTCTAGGGAAGTTTTTGAAATTTACTACCATAGTCTTCATTCTGTCACAGCTCTGGCTGAGTGCCCAACACCTGTCTTCCACACTGGGCTCAGCATCTTCACACACTCTGAGAAGCCTGATATTCTCAGTCCTTGGTGGCAGTGGTAGGGGGAAACACCTGTTTGGCTTCTTTGCTGGGCCTCTGAATTTATAACATTGAACTTCCAAGTCACTCAATCATGTGACTACCTCGTCCCATCACAGGTTGTCACCATCATAGTATGCAAACATTAAAAGTCAATTTTGTGTAGTGGTCACAATTTGACAGCAGGCTTGGGACCTGCGTACGTGCAGCAGTGTGATGGAGAGATGAACAAAACCCAGGTATAGGCCCCTGGCACAGGACTTCTTGGGAACTAGAAGATGCCTGGAGACTTATTGAAGTCATTTAGGAAATAGTCTTCTGAGGAAGTGAGAGTCCATGACTGGATATGAAACCATCTCATTGGTGATGTGAATTAAAAAATAAAAAAAAATATGCTTATCATTAAGAAAGTAAAACATTGGCCTTGGGGGATAACTTGGCTGTTAAAGGCTCAGGCTAACAACCAAAAATAAGAAAGTAAAACATAAAGCTGGGCATGATGGGTCATGCCTATAATTCCAATACTCATGAGACAGAACCAAGCCTGGGCTACATGGTGAGACTCTCTCAAAATAAAGGGAGAGGAAGGAAGGGAGGGAGGGAGGGGATAGTGTACACTTTTAATCCCAGTACCACTCAGGCTGAAGAAGCATGCAGATCTTTGTGAGTTCAAGTCCAGCCTGATCTATGTAGGGAAGGAAGGAAGGAAGGAAGGAAGGAAGGAAGGAAGGAAGGAAGGAAGGAAGGAAGGAAGGAAGGAAGGAAATATGTGTAGAAGAAAAGTAAAACCCACTGGCCACGCAATCACAAGTGACTAGTGTTTATGGAGCAGGCTCGGGCTTTGCACTCTTGACTGGTTTCCATGAGGCAATTTGATATTGTCTTTTCCCAAATTGACAGTGGCCCCTCCTTTGTTTACAGAACATGGAGAGTTCTTAGCTCTGGACCTTGGAGGGACCAACTTCCGTGTGCTCCGAGTAAGAGTGACAGACAATGGCCTCCAGAGGGTGGAGATGGAGAACCAGATCTATGCCATCCCAGAGGACATCATGCGTGGCAGTGGCACCCAGGTACAGCCTTCCTCTCGGGCAGCAGCTTATCTACAAACACCTTCTCTGAGATATTCTGTGATTTCTCTCTCCATGGGAGGACAGTCTCTAGGATGTCTGGATACCAACCTAGCTAGCTGTAGAGTTCCCTGTGCAGGAGCCCTGAGTTTTCCAGCAATATTTTGTACCCAGAGGGCACTTGGTAATAAAAGTAGCAACAGATTGACTGGCAGGGAGAGGTGGACCCTTCTAGCTGTGTTCCTTCCACTAACCAGGCTGCTTCTAGAAAAGGAATTCTGATTGTCAGCAGAGCAAGGGAGAGAGATGTTTCCAGATCCTTTGTCTCTGTATGTGACCCTAGGGGTAAGCCTGCTTTCCTGTCTTAATGCTGGGATTGGAGAAAGAGGCTGGGTACCTGAGCTTGTGGGCATTTTTGTGTCTTAGGGCTGCAGTGTAATGGAAGGAAGAACACGGGGGAGAGGCTTTTCCTGCACCTGCACAGTGTCCTGGGACAGCCCGGTTGTGTGAGTGGACATAACACCTCCTGGAGCCTCAGTTTATCTGTCTGTAAAGAGACATGATACAATAATAGCTAGATCGTGGGGCCAGCCAGAGAGGAGGTGTATTTAGTGTTTCACATCACATCTGGCATGAGCACTGGTGCTTCCTGTTCCCCATGGGGGTTTTGCCCATTCTTCAAATTGTTTTTCCTGTTCTGCCCTGGGTCTCAGTGGCCAGTGATGGCATTGTTCCCCTTTGTGAGGAATGTCACCTTTTCTTTCCTTTGTCTCTGTCTCATTCTGAGCCCTGCTCCCAGATGACAACTATTTGAGAGCAAGAAAAAACCAAGAAGAGCACCTGAAGTTTGGTTGGGACTGTGAAAAAGACTTGCAGTGTTATAATGTGTTGGGTGGATTCTTTGTTCATCTCTAGATAACCACATAAGGACCATCTCCCCTCAGCCACATAAAGGACCCAGGAAGGGTCCTTGTAGCTTCCTCTCCAGAGCCTGGCAGGGCTCAGGACTTCCACTGACAATGCAGTGTGTCCACCAACCCAGAAAGCAAATCTGTTTTGAACATTCAAGATCTGAGTAGTTGAAATTTTTACCTCAAAATCCCTAGACCAGCAGAGCATGGCACACATCGGTAATCCCAGCCTTTGAGAGGCTGAGGCAGGAGGACTGGAAGTTCAGGCCAGCCTAGGCTACATAACATGACCCTGTCTTCAAATGAACAAACAAAAATAGCTAAGATGACATTTGATTTTTAAAAAAACCAAAACCAAAACTACCTAGGTAGAAGGTATATTTCTCTTCTATTTTTAAAATTACATTTATTAATTTTTGTGTGTGTGTGCATTTGCATGTGTGTGCATGTAGAGATCAGAGTGCAACTTGTGGCATTCAGTTCTCTTTCCACTATGTGGGCCCCAGGAATCCAACTCAGGTCATCAGGCTTGCAACATGCTGAGCCATATTCTTTTTTAAATCAATCAATTAATTTTTATGTATATGAGTATTTTGCCTACATGTCTGTGAGTACACCAGCAATGACTTTGGAGGCCAGAAGAGGGGTTCAGATCCCCTGGAATTGGAGTTTCAGTCAGTTGTTAGCCACTGTGTGGGTGCTGCGTATGGGTGCTGAGAAGTGAACCTGAGCACTCTGCAAAAGCAGCCAGTGCTCTTAACTGCAGAGCCACCTCTCTAACTCCTGAACCATATTCTTTTTTGTTGGTTTTTGTTTTTTGAGACAGGGTCTCTCATAGCCCCAGTTGGTCTGGAACTCATCATGCAGACTAGGTTACCTCTGCCTCCTGAGTGCTAGGTTTAAAGGCATGCACCACCACAACCCACCTATAAAGTTTTGTTTTTTTAATATTCCCAGCACTTGGGAGGCAGAGGCAGGTGGATCTTTGTGAGTTCGAGGCCAGCCTGGTCTACATAGTGAGTTCCAGGACAGCTGGGGCTACAGGGAGACCCTGTCTCAAAAAAAAAAAAAAATTTCTTGGGGTTGACACCCTCTTCTGACCTCCTTGGGCATTGCACACATGGGTGTATTTACATATATGCAGGTAAAACACATATAAAATGAAAATAAATTTTTAAAAAATTAAAAATTTTTTTTTATTGCTTTTTGTGTTTTTTAAAGCTTTATTTTATTTTTATGTATGTATGTATATATGAGTGGGGGGCGTACCATTGGAGGCCAGAAAAGGGTATTGGATCTCTTGGAGTTATCAGTGGTTGTGAGCTACCCAGCATGGGTGTTGGGAACTGAACTTGGGTCCTCTGGAAGATCAGCAAGTTCTTAACTGCTAAGCCATCTCTCTAGCCCATATATGGGTTATATGGGTTTTTGTTGTTTGTTTGTTTGGAGACAGTCTTATATAAGCATGTTGGCTTCAAACTTGCTATGTAGCCACAGCTAGCTTTGAACTTCTGATCCCTCAGCCTCCCAAAATACTGGGAATACAAGTACCATATCCAACTTTAGATAGGTTTTGAGTAAAAAAAAATTTTTTTTTTTTGAGACAGAGTCTCCTGTAGCCTCAGCTGGCCTGGAACTCACTATGTAGACCAGGCTGGCCTTGAACTCACAGAGATCTGCCAGCCTCTGCCTCCCAAGTGCTGGGATTAACGGCGTGTGCCACCATGCCCGGCTTGAGTAAATTTTTAAAAAGCTATATAATAATGAAACAGAAAACAAACTAGAAAAAAGTTTGAGTGTCTGTATGTCCTAAAGCAGCAGAAAACGTTTAGAAAACAGACTGTAAGGAAATACAGGAGGCTATTTTAAGTAGTATGATTGGTGCTGTTTTTCCTATATTTCGACCCCTCTCCTTTCAAGTGTTAGGTGTAAGTACTTTTATTATTTATTTAACTGTGTGTGTATGAGTGTATGTGTGTGAATGCACATGCCATGGCTCATACATGGCAGTCAGAGAGATAACCCTTAAAGAGTGTTTTCTCTCCTACCATGTGCATCCTGGCAATAGAACTTGCTTCATCAGAGCAAGACTAGCCAGTATAAATGTTTTAATTAAACAAAAACAAGTGGGTTTTAAAAATAAAGACCAAATTGTCAAACCCCAAACTTGTAAAAGTCCTTGAGGAACTGTGAACCTGGGCAAGGTGGGGTCTCTGGGCAGAATCTGTCTTCTGGTCACAGATTTTTATTTCAGAGCATTGGATGGCAAGCCGGAAAAGCAACCACTCAAAGGTGTTTTCTTTGGAGATAGGCTTTAACGTGTAGCTCAGACTGGCCTAGACTGCACTGTGTAGCACAGGACAGCCTCAGCCTCATCATCCTCCTCAGCCTCCTGAGTGCTGGGATCCCAGACACAGAGCAGCACACCACACTCAGGTTTGTAGAGTGTATGTTATGGGAAGAGGAGTGAGCAGATCCTCAACTCAATAAGGAAGAGGAAACATTTGGTGCTTTAAAGGCTGATGGCCTTTGAGCCTTTTTATGGCAGGAAGGTGTTGACTCTCCAGCATCTTATCCTTAGATCCTCATCTAACAAGAGGAGGCAATCATCCAATTCAAGGAAGCATTTGTTCCTCTAAGAAGGTTTTCTAACCCTGCCCTGGCTGAGGGACCTTTCTGTAATGGCTGAACCGTTTTTTTATCAGCCCTGTGCAAGGCACCCCCCATCCAAAGCAGTGAGAATGTCAAACATGACTGACCAGCTGAATTTAGTTTCATTTCACTTTAGACAGGCTCTTAGTAGGTAGCCCAGGCTGACCTCACACTCTCCTTCCGCCTCAACCTCTTGAGTATAGGGATTTCAGCCATACGCTGCCATACCAGCACAGGTGAATTTGTAATTTGTAAAATTCTGATTAATTGAAATAGCTACAGATGGTTCAAGCTGACTGTCGGGGGTGGGGAAGTATATGCAACTTCCTTCTGCCTACTTTCTCTGCCACCTCTGTGGGGAGGACAGCTGGGGAGGAAGCAGTGGTCAGGGCTCTGGGTTCAGAAGCCATCTTGCTCTTCCCCCTGATAAAGAACTGTCCATTTCTCTTCATTTTCCATGGTTGCTTGATGTCTGCACAGCTTCTTTCTTTGGATAAAACTATTTGTCCTAAGGGGTGTGGATATAGATAGCTCAGTGGTCGAGTGCTTGCCCAGCGCTCAGGTTCAATTCTCAGCACCACCAAAAAAATTAAGCATTTGTATTAAAGACCTGTTTTGCCAATGATCAGGAACAAGGTGCTATGAATTTGTTTTAAATGCCCCAGATTTATTTCAGCCTCCCAGCACAAGAACAGGACTTGCTGAATCTCTCTCTAGAAACCCTATTTGGGGCAGCTGTGGTGCCACATGCCTTTAATTCCAGCACTCAGAAAGAGGCAGAATCTCTTTGAGTTTTGAGGGCAGTTTGATCTACATAGTGAGTTACAGGCCAGCCAGGGCTGCATAGTGAGACCCTGTCTCAAAACAAAACAAAGCCCTAAGCAAAGAGAAAACAAAACCAACCAACCTCATATTTATATATTAAAATTGCTTTAAGGGAAACTGGCCAGATGATCCTCTTGGTGACAGAGCCCTGTCCTGGCTGTGCTTCTTGCCTTCGATTGGAGGTTGAAAGTTCAGCATCAGCTTTAACGCTGCACAGGACAAGACAACAGGGCGGATCCTGTGGGGAGTTCCATGAGAGCTAGCTCCTTCCAGATTTGGCTGGCCTCTTCTTCCTGACTCCCCACCTTCTGCTGGTCCTTAGACATTAGGGAGCCTGTGGGCTTGTCAGCTCCCTTGAGTGCTCAGATCTTATGTAAATGTAAACAGTGCTCTGTAGTTGTTTCAGGATCACAGAGAAGGCTTGTTAACAGATTGCTGAGTCTCCAGAGTTTGTGTATATGTGAATGTGCGTGTGTGTGCATGCATACTTAGAAATTTCATTTTCATATGTTCTCAGGTGACAGGTCAGGATCACACCTTGGGAATTTTCTTTTTAAGATTCTATGTATTGTGTGGGTGTGGGTCCGAGCATAAGTGTGCAATGGCACTCCTGTTGAGGTTGGGATAATCTGTGGGAGTCAGATCTCTCTTTCTGCCATATGGGTGGGTCCCCAGGATGGAAATCAGGTATCAGGCTTGGCAGCAATTGTCTTTACCTGCTGAACTATCTCACCAGTCCATACTTTGGGATCATATCTTTAGTAGACTCTTCTTTGCATCTTTATCTTTTCTTTTTTTTAACATTTATTTATTTGTGTATGTGCACCCACGTGCCACAGCACTATGTGAAGACCAGAGGACAACTTGCAGGAATCAGCTCTCTCTCTCCACCATGTAGATGGGCCCTAAGCTTGGCATTAAATGCTTTAACCCACTGAGCCATCTTGCTTCTCCTAGAAAGGAAAGGGTAGTTGTTCTTATCCACCCCCACTTCCTTGGTTTTGCCACTGGGTCCTCCTGGCCCTAGGGCTCTGTTCAGTCTCTTTGGCCTCTGTTTACTTTTTGTTTTAGATGGCCCCTGCCTGAAAGCCTCTTAGCACTTGGAAGGTCACCAGCTTCGGACTGCTGAGAAGGCTAGAAGGAAGCTGCTGGTTGTGAGCGCTGGCCTGGCTGAAGGCTGCACAGCTCTCTCCAAGACTGAGGGGCTGTGGGTCCTGCCCAGTGTAGTCACAACTTTGACAGTGCCCCATCTGAAAAACTGTCTTCTGTTTTGAAGTTAGGAAACAGAAATAGGGGCTGGGGAACTGGCTCAGCACTTAAGAGCCTTTGCTGCTCTATTAGAGGATAGGAGTTCAGATCCTAGCACCTACATCAAGCAGCTCAAAAAGACTTGTAATTCCAGGGCCAGAGGATCTGATACCCTCTTCTGGCCTCGGTGGGTATTTGCATACACAAATGAGCAGGCACAGGTTCAGACACAGACACACACACACACACACATACACACACACACACACACACACATACACACACAGATTAAAAAAGAAATTAAACAAAAAATTAAACCATAACTAGTTGGTGCCGGGCTCTCGCCAGCCGCTAGCTGGAGCCACTCACCTCCGAGACCTGGAGTTGGAGCGGCAGTGCGGAGAAGCGGTCACCATGCCTTTGGCTAGAGATTTGCTACATCCATCCTTGGAAGAGGAAAAGAAAAAACATAAAAAGAAATGGCTAGTTCAAAGCCCAAATTCTTATTTCATGGATGTAAAATGTCCAGGTTGCTACAAGATTACTACGGTTTTCAGCCATGCTCAGACAGTGGGTCTTTGTGTAGGTCGTTCAACAGTGTTGTGCCAGCCTACTGGAAAGGCCAGACTCACAGAAGGCTGTTCATTTAGAAGAAAGCAACACTAATGATCTATACAACTTCCAGCGTTTGTGTTTTCTCACAGAAAGCCTTAAGTTCAGTTACTCTACCAAGACCATATAATTATGTTTGATTTTGTAAGCTATAAATAATAATCTCCTATTTTGGTGTCAATTTTTCAATAAAGTTTTAATTATGGAAAAAAATTAAACCATAACTAATTTCTTTGAATTGCCCACAGACGATTAGATTTCTAGAATGGAGAAAAACTATAAAAGTTGCTTACCTTTGTAAAGTCAGTCCATTGAGTGCTAAACTACTTGTCAACAAGATGGGCTTCCTATTCCAGAAAGATAATCAGCTGGACTTCCATGATGCCCAGCAGAGGATGCACTGATCTCAGTGGACTTTCTGATAACTTCGACCATGACTTCCCCTGACTCATGGGGTTCTTTTGACAGACATTCACATAAATGGTTTAAGTGTAAGACTGTCTAGTGAGGCTAACTAGCATGTACCTTTGTACTCATTGACCAGTGAGTCCAGGTGACTCTGAGGTGGGTACGGATGTCATTTCCTTTTAGTAGAAGAGCAAATGAAGATAAATGCAAATTCAATTGGCTCCTTTTTGTGTTATTTTTCTTGTTGCGGTGACAAAATACCCAACAAAAACAACATAAGGGTTTGAGTTCGAGGGTACAGTTCACCACTGCAGGGAAGGCACAGCAGCAGGTGCCTTCATGTTTGGAGTTCAGCTTTCTTTGTCCTTAAGCCTGGGACTCCAGCCATGGGATGGTGCTGTGTACATTTAGGGTGGATCTTCCTACCTTAGTTACCTGAATCTAGAAACTCCTTCACAGGCATGCCCAGAGGTTTGTCTCCTAGGTGATTCTAGATCCTGCCAGGGTGACAACATTAACTCTCACACTCCCTCTTTCTCCTCTGTGCTATCCTGCCTCCCTGCTCATCTTCCTATTTTGTATATCCATAGCTGTTTGATCACATTGCTGAATGCCTGGCCAACTTCATGGACAAGCTACAAATCAAAGAAAAGAAGCTCCCCCTGGGCTTTACCTTCTCATTCCCCTGCCACCAGACAAAGCTCGATGAGGTAAGATGGGCTCTTTTGAATGTTTTTGAGGTTTCACTCTTGTGGTTGTGAGGATGGAGAAGGACTCCTGAGCCATCTATAGCTTGCTGTGGTGGTGGCACTGAGGGGTTTTGTATATGAGGTTTCAGTATTGAGACTTCTGTCCTGAGAAACTGTGTATGTGTAAGTATGGGAGGATGGTGAGGCCAGGGTGTTCTGTCATCTTCCTGTCCACACATGCATGGTGTCCTTATCCTATGCAGCTCAACAGGAATGAGAAATTAAAAACTCTGTTGCTCTAAATGGTCTTGAGAAAGATCCTTGAATGAAAGAAAGATGCCTGAGAGAACTGGGGATGTAATTCACTTTGTAGAGTGCTTGCCTAGCATTCACAAAGCCTTGACTTCAGGCACAGGTATCGCATAAGCCAGGCATCCACCACCTGCATTGAGGAGGTGGAGGCAAAGGGTCAGAAATACGAGGATATGCTTCCTATTTGATAGCATGTTCCACTTCTTGGAGACAGTGAATCATGAAAAAACTCACTCATGCACTCTCCTGTCCTAGTCTATGGAGGAGCCAAGTGTCTCCTTCCTGGGCTAGTTAGGAAGCAATGTATAAAAATTCAACCACGACTCTAGCCCAGTAGCAGAGGGCTCTGCTAAGGATTGCTGATGCAGTGTTTGCTCTTTTAGTAGGAAATTGATATTCATTCTTTGGTCCTTTTCTAGAGTTTCTTGGTCTCATGGACCAAGGGGTTCAAGTCCAGTGGTGTAGAAGGCAGAGATGTGGTGGATCTGATCCGGAAGGCCATCCAGCGCAGAGGGGTGAGTAAGCAGTGGGAGCTTGTAGTCTACAGGCTCTGTCGGGTCCACACTCTGAAGTCTTTGTGCTCTGACTCAGCAGGAAATGGTTTTGTAGAGCTCAAGAACTTTTCTTCCCTGCCATGTTACCCATTGATTTTTCTACGTGACAGATGGGTTTCGAGGTTTTGAGATTTGTTTGATGGAAAGTAACCTGAGCCTTGGTGCAAGAAAAACCCTTCTGTCCTTAACCTGAAGGCTGTCATTGTCAAGTAGGATTGTTGGCATGATTGACATGAGGGAGGAATGGAGCAGGCAGATGACAAACTAAAGATCTATTGGTTATGGGGAGGTTTAGAGAGAGAAGGAAGAGGGAGGAGGAGGGGGCGAGGGGGGTTCTCAGTGCTATGAAACAGATGTCAGACCTGATAACTTCACCATTGAGGTGGGGAACTGACTGGGGAAAGGGAGCAAGATGCTGCCTGGTCCGCTGACTTTGGCGCCTTCTTTGGCTGTGAGTTGGGTTAGTAATAGGCTGCACTGTCACATCTGATCAGCGAGTGAGCCTTGCTCTTTCTCCATCTTCACATCAGTCTTCCCTTTGTGGTGGTAAAGGTCACACACTCCTATTGATCCCCACAGGATTTTGATATTGACATTGTGGCCGTGGTGAACGACACAGTGGGGACCATGATGACCTGTGGTTATGATGATCAGAACTGTGAAATCGGCCTCATCGTGGGTGAGTGAGCCCGGGTATGAGGGCCTGTGCTATCCAGTGGGGGAGGCTGGGAGGGACGAGGGGATCCATTGCTTGAGTGTTTCCTCCTACTCCATATTTGAAGATAACAGTGCAGCCAGGACCTATGGAGTTGGGGGTGGGTAATAGAGGCCTGGCCCTTGTGTTTGGTTTTTCCAGGAGGGTGCAGGGAGGAATCTTAGCCCCAGGCAGACTTAGGACAGTAGTGTACAGAGTTGGGTGGGAGAAGACAGTGCAGGGGGTGCTGAGTGGTCCCTTGCTTTGGCCAGGCACAGGAAGCAATGCCTGTTACATGGAGGAGATGCGCCACATCGACACGGTGGAGGGTGATGAGGGCCGGATGTGCATCAACATGGAGTGGGGGGCCTTTGGGGATGATGGCACACTCAATGACGTCCGCACCGAGTTTGACCGAGAGATCGACATGGGCTCACTGAACCCTGGGAAGCAACTGTAAGTGGGGCCTTCCTATGTGGGGCAGAAGTGGGAACTGGCAGGCTGGTTACGTTTCTGTATTTATTTTCTTAACATTGCCCCCAAAGGGTTACCTTGGCTATCGGAGTATTTGTGACCATAAATCACAGAGGGGCTTAAAAACAGATAAACCAGATCGCCCTTCAAAACAGTTGCTTCTGTTTGTTATTTTGAGATAGTCTTGCTAGAACTAGTTTGGTACTAGTTATGTAGCCCAGGCTGGCCTCAAACTCAGCAGCAATTGTCTACCTCAGCCTCCCAAATGCTGAGATTAAAGGTGTTCGCAGAACAGTCACTTTAGAAGGTTATATTCTGTTTCTATCTCTATAGATAAAGTATGAGCCACATGAAAAAAGGTCACATTGAGATGGCCAAGATGAGGGTCTCTAAAAGTTCCCTTTGTAGCTGTCACCCTGTTACTGCCTAGGGGATAAGGTGCTTGGTTTTATTTGGTCCTGGGGCTAGAACCCAGGGCTTTGTGTGTGCAAGGCAAATACTCTACCAACTGAGCTTCATCCTTGGACCTGATTTAAAAAAAAAAAAAAATTATTTCTTGCTCACAGAGCCCCAGGGCTTTCTACCCTGGCTGCAGGCGGACCAAGTCCTGTGGGATAGCTGCCAAGGAGTCCTTTGGTCCTTCAGCATGGGGCTGTGGTCAAGCGTGGGTGGAGTACGGGACCCAGCATTTTGTATATGCTGCGACCTGACCAGACTTAGTTTTCTGTTATTTTTGATTCTTACACATTATTTTGTTCTTGAATTTGCCAACTGTCCCGGCCGAAGATCTTGAAACAGTATTGCTGCAAGAGCTGACAGGCACTTGCAAAATCTTTTTGAGCAATTTGCCACCTCTGTGGTTTTCTTGGTGTTGTGACTGTTTTAGGAAAACTTTGAATTCTGGTCTGTCTTTGTAAAAACTGTAAAAACTGGGGCAGAGGTGGGTAGCCTGTTTCTTTATTGCAAACGTCCTTACTTCCTTAAAGCCCACGTTAAGTCCCAGGCTCTTCTCCAGGTTGAAATGCGAGTCCCTGATTGTGTCTACTGTGGGTGGTGAGAGGTTTATGAGCTGAAAAGTCACTCACTCAATGCCTGTCTCTTAGTGAGACATACCCATGCCATTTTGATGAGCTTTGTGCCCTTGGAAGTATCCAAAGACAAAATGGCCACCCAGGCCCTGGCAACACAATTTTGACTTATCCACAGACGACGGACAAAGATTGGGAGGGCATCTTCCAAACTGTTAGCTGGGGTGACCCGGAAGTCATGCTAGGCAATGTCATACTATAGACCCCCTGGCAGTAGAAGGCTGCTCTCAGCTGCCATAGAGCCAACTTTGTAGAAACAATTTCATAGTGTTGAGGCTAGGGAGTTACTCAGACTAGGGGCTGTATTGGTTTTTTGGGGGTTTTTTTTGCTTTGTTTTGTTCTTTATTTTTGTTTTGAGATAGGGTCTCTTGTAGTCCAAGCTAGGTTTGAACGCACTATGTAGCTAAGAATGACCTTGAAATTTGGATCCTCTTCTTGATCCTCCTGATTGCTGGTGAATGAAGCTGTGGATGAGGTCCAGGATTTTGTGCATGCTAACCAAGCACACTGTACCAACTGAGCTGCATTCCAAGATGTGATTTTTTTTTCTCAATTGTTTTTTTAATTTCTGAAAAATTTAAAATTCATTTTATGAGTGTTTTGCCTAGATGCTTGTAAGCACACCTGTGTCATGCAGTGCCCACAAAGGCGAGAAGAGGGTGTTGGAGCCCCTGGGACTGGAGTTAAACGTGGTTATTACCTGCCATGTGGGTGCTGAGAACTGAACCCAGGTCCTCTGGAAGAGCACTCAATGCTCCTAACTGCAGCCATCTCAAGACAGGATCTCACTATTCCCAGGTTAACCTGGAACTTTTTTTTTTTTTTTTTTTTTGGTCTTTTTGAGACAGGGTCTCCCTGTAGCCCCAGCTGTCCTGGAACTCACTATGTAGACCAGGCTGGCCTTGAACTCACAGAGCTCCGCCGGCCTCTGCCTCCCAAGTGCTGGGATTAAAGGTGTGTGCCACCACGCCCGGCTAACCTGGAACTCTTAATCTTGCTTCGGCCTTCCAAGTGCCGGGAATGCAGGGTGCCCCCACCAGGCCTGGTTTTGCTTTGGTATTTTCAGATCACTCTGTGCTTAGAGCCACGCTGCCAGCTCTCCCTTTACTTCAGCCCTGCCCTGTGTGGCTGGCTTTGGGTTTGAGCAAGTTACATCCTGAGTGCTGTGAGCAGCCTAATTAGCATCACAGCCCATTATGCATCCTCTCTTTCAGACCCAGCTTCTTTCTGAGACATCAAGGGGCCTTTGCCAAACAGCTGATTTCCAGGATTTGAGTTGCTCATGTGGTCCTAGAGAAAAGATTGATTTCTAAAGGAAGCAGTGCCATCTAGTGGTGTAAAACTAGATTATTGGAATGTTTGGGGGCTGGTTTTCTTCCCTCCCTCCCTCCCTCCCTCCCTTCCTTCCTTCCTTCCTTCCTTCCTTTCTTCCTTCCTTCCTTCTTCCCTTCCTTCCTTCCCTCCTTCTATCCTTCCTTCCTCCCTCCCTCCCTCCCTCCCTCCCTTCCTTCCTTCCTTCCTTCCTTCCTTCCTTTCTCTTGCTGCCTGCAAACTTTCAGCCTGTTCACTCCCAAATTCTTCTCCTAGCCTGCCCTGGAACTTTGTGCCATCGTCCCTCCTGCCCAGCTTGTTTTCACCTTATTTCTTGGAAATCCACGAACAGGGGAAGGCAATGTAGGTGGATTTGAGACAGTCTTACGCTGTAACCCAGGCTGACTTGAAACTTGCTATGTAGCCTAGACTGACCTTGGACTCGTGGTGACCCTCTCAAATGCTAGGATTACAGGCAAACGCTGCTATGTCTGGCTATAAGATCTTATTTTAAGAGAGCATTTTCTTGCTTGGTGTGGTGAAGTGTGTTAGATTTAGGAGAGCAGAAAAAGGAAGGAGTTTAAAGTTTAGAAATAAGAGTCAGAGCCAGACCTGCAACAGGCAAGGAATGTGCTCCCTTTTTTCAGGGAACCCAACAAAGGCTGATAAACCCTTCTGTGGAATAAGAGTATCTACATCAAAGCAGGGAGCAGTCTAGTCTTATATAGGAACTCTGCTGCACACAACTATGAGTTAACTCCATGCCAGGGTCTGGTGTCTTTGAGGGTCTCTTCTCCCAAGGTTATTTTCTCAGGCAGGCGGGAGAGTTATCTACAGCACTAAAGGAGACAGGTGGGCTCCCTAAACAGTCTCTCTCAGTTCAGAGAGTGACCAATTGATAAGGCTTGAGCAAGGCCAGGCTGCCAATTTAGGGCCAATTAACCGCTTTAAGGGATTTATGGCTTTCCCTAATGAGACTTGTGGCTCTTCTGCAATTCACACATTCTATCAAAATGCATCAAACAGGAGGGTTGCCTTGAGATTGAGGCCAGCCTAGCTTACAGTGGTGACCCTATCTCAAAGAGGCAAAACAATAGCAACAGCCAAAACCCCCACCAACAAAAACATTTCTTACTAAAAGTATGAGTTTTTTCTTTTCTTTCCTTTTTTCTTTTCTTTTCCTGAGACAGGATCTTACAAATCTTAGCCAGATTCCTTGCCTCTACCTCACAAGTGCTGGATTACAGGCACTGACTACCATGTTTGGCTCTGAGTAGACTTTTAAATAATCTTTCTCCAGTATGAAACTCAAGTTACCTCAAGTTCAATCTGTTCCAGAATATTCTGTGCTCCCTTGTGTTTCATTGGGCTGCTTAAGGCCCATTCATTTCCATAGTTTAAATTTGGCCAGCCTGAGGGTTAGCCCCAGCCCCACAGCTGCTATAGCCCCCTGAGCTGTTATACTCACACCCCTGTGATCCTTAAGCCTAAGTGTATCCTTACTTGTACCCTGATTTCTAAGGTATCCTGGGGTCTTGTGTATGTCCGTCACTGGAAGAAGGTTGATATATGTCTATTTGATGGTCTGTCTCCCTGCAGGTTTGAGAAGATGATTAGTGGGATGTACATGGGCGAGCTGGTCAGGCTCATCCTGGTGAAGATGGCCAAGGAGGAGCTGCTCTTCCAGGGGAAGCTCAGCCCAGAACTCCTCACCACTGGCTCCTTCGAGACCAAAGATGTCTCAGATATTGAGGAGTAAGCTCTTGACCCTACCCCTTGTCTGCTCACCAAGTCTCCATAACTGGGCAAGAACTGGGGAATGAAATGCGAGGGAACTGGCTTTGAGATTGGAGAGAGAGAGAGAGAGAAAGAGAGAGAGAGAGAGAGAGAGAGAGAGAGAGAGAGAGAGAGAGAGAGAGAGAGAGAGAGAGAGAGTGACACAGA